TGAGCCTCAGTTCCCTTAATCATAAAGTAGAGCAGTGCTTTGTGTGCAGTCACTTCTCCAATCCCATAATCATGGCAGGCATTGCTGGTTGATCCACAATATTCTTTATTCTAACTGCCATCAATTAGAGCTGGTACTTGAGATGAAATATGCTTTTGGGGAATTTAATTATTTACAAGCCAATATATACAAAATTCCTACTACGGTGCCCAGCACATTGTAGGCATTCAGTAGTGGATGGTAATTGTTACGACATTTGGCTGTGAGCTCCTTGGGGACCAGCGGAGAATGAAAAACTCATTAAATTATGTAGTCTTATTATCAAACATGAGGAAGTCAGGGTTATAGTTCTGGTGTGACCTCTTGGCCTTAAGCAGGCCTATGTTCCTTCCAAGGGGTCTCCCTTTTTTGTGGGTGAGGCCAGGGGACTTTAACTTCTGTGATTTATCCTCTTTCTCCAGAGAGACCTCTGGGCTTGTACTCCTCTCCAGCTGTCCTCAGACGGCAAGCCGCCTGCAGAAGTTCTTCATCCACTCACGGAGAGCCCAGAGACCCACAGCCACCTACTGGTGAGAGGGGATGGGAGGCTCCCCGGGGCAATAGGGAGGTCCTGCAAGCCGTCCTGTGACCTCTTCCTGCCTCTTTCTCAGTGCTGTCACTGATGGGATCCCAGCTACTTCTGAGGGGGATATCCAGGCAGCTCTGAAACTGGAACACATTGATGGCGTTGATCTAGTAAGTCAGGTCTGGGAGGGAACAGGAGGGGACTCTCCAAATATATTATCCCTAAAGAGGAGTCAAGGGTATAGACTTGGGGTGGCTGGCTCTCTTGTACCCTAAAACAGGCAAGTGACCACTGCTTATACTCTGGCTCCATCTTTTGGGAGCAGAGAGGGTCTGGGTGAGCTGCCAGATATGTGTGAAGCTTGTTCATTCTTGGGGGCTGACACCACAGGTAATTCCAGTGAAGTCCCCATCCCGGAAAGACTTCCAAGAAGGTGTCAAGAGGACCTTCAGCCACTTCCGTGTGGTGGCCATGGGCTCTGGCTGTGCCCTGGTCCAGCTGCAGCCACTGACAGGTGGGTCTGGAACCTTGCCAGCCTTCACAACTGTATTTGGCTGGAGGGCGGGGAGGGGGAGTGGGAAGAAGGTGGTGATGGTGTTAATGGCAGCTTGGGGAGCATATGATGGTCTCTAAGAGGGAAATAGTCAGATGCAGCTGGAGGAGACAGCGCTTCTGCTGCCAGTCTGATGGTCATTCCTTTGTAGCCCATCTACTTTTTGTTCTCTTAGTTTTTGGTCTCAGAATCTTCTCTTTGTCTTTGGTGTTCTGTGGTTTCACTGTGCTTAATCTAGGTGTGTGGGCTCAGTTTTATTTATCTTGCTTGGAATTCAGTTTGCTTTCTCAATCTGAAAATGAATATATGTCATCAATCCCAGAAAGTTCTTTCTCTTCAAATGTTGCACCTCTTGCATTTTCTCTGTTCTCTTCCTTCTGAATGCCTAAGAGAGGTGTCTGACCTTCTCATTCTACTTACTAGGTCTCTTTTCTTTCATATTTTTCATTTCTTCATCCCTACTGCATTCTGGGTAATTTCTTTAGATCTATTTTCCAGGTGAATAATTTTCTTTTCAGTTGGATCTGCCAATTCAGCCCATCCACTGACTGTATTTTTCTTTCACTTCTAGGAGTCCTATTTGGTTGTTTTACAAATAAAAATGGCCTTGAAAAATATAGGGCATCTTTTTTTCTCATATTATTTGTTCAAGTTAAACATACTGATATTTTTATATTTCTATTCTATATATATTTCTGCATTTTCATTGTCTGAAGTTCTGGAGGGCCTAATCCTATGGTATTTCATGCTGACTCTCACACTTGGTAGATTGTTTCATTGCTCTGTGATTCAGGACTGTGGATTCACATTCAGCTGGGCCTTTATCTGTGGAAATCTTTTGTTGCTTCACTGTAGGTAGGGCCCTCGGGAGTGGTTCTGCCGTTGGTTCTGCCAAATGCCCCAGAGCTATCACTGTTTCAAGTTCTCTTTGAATATTAATGTCTTGGTTGGAAGTTCAGAGATCATGCTGGTATTGAGTCCCAAACCTGTGTGAGAGTGGGCTCATGGTTGTGAATTCACAGGGGAAAACTTCACTCCCTTCCTTCATACCTAAGGTGATGACCTGTCTTCATCGGTGGCTAGCTTTTTCTCCTGGTTCACCCCTTTACGGAAGATGTAGCTCCTCCAGGATTTCATTTGGGTACCAAGGCCTCAGCCCTGGCCCCTAGGTAGCTACTTAAACCCAAGACCCCTGGATACCAAGATTTGCAGCATCCCTGGAATAGATGAAATGTTGGCACTTGTGTACTGTAGATTTGTTTTCCACTGGCTTTGGTCTTGGGGACCTTATTTCCTCTGCCCAGCTCTATATTTAAAAGGATGGTTCTTATATTTTTCTGGTATTTCTAGGTGGTTTAGAGCAAGAAAGTTTTTAGATTATCCAGTCCACCATATTGCTAGACATGGAAGCAGAGTAGTAGCTCCTGGGTTTGAATCCCAGCTAATGGTAGTGGGCAAGTCACTTCTTTTTGAGCTTCAGTTTTCCTGTGTGAAGATGGGAATGATGATAGGACCCCCTTATCAGGCTGTCATGAGGATTAAATAAATTTACATATGTGAAGCACTTTGTACCATGCCTAACACATAGCTCCCCATTTCTTTGTCAGGTTTCCCCAAAACCTGTTCAAATTGGGGTAAGCTAAAAACAGGGAAGGTATTGGCTCCCATAACTTAAAGTTTAGGCATGGCTAGATCTAGAGGCTCAGAGGATGTCCTCGGGACGTTCTTTCTCCATTTCTTTTTGCTTCCTGCATATTGGCTTCTCCCTCCCACAGGCTCTCCTCTGGGCACGGTAGAGATGGCCAGCGGCTCTGGCAGCTCCAGGCCCGCATCCCACCAGTTTAGTACCCTAGCAGGAAAAGGCATTCCTTGTTTCCAGTAGCTTCAGCAGTAAATTCAGGGTTGTATCTCTTCATGAGTGAATCCTACAGGCTGGGTAGATTGATGATTATGACTGTGCTGACCTGCTCTTGCACCCTGCTCTGCAGTTGGGCGGTAGCATTGGCCTCACTGAAACCACGTGATCTATAAATGGGAGTAGAGTGGTGGTGTTTCCCCAGAGAGGAGGAGGGATGATGATCCTGGGTGGGACAGAAAGAGCAGCTGCCCACCATCTGTCCTCTGTCTCCCGTATCCCAGTGTTCCCCAGTCAGCTCCAGGTACACATGGTACTACAGCTCTGCCCTGTGCTTGGGGATCACACATACTCTGCCCGTGTGGGCACTGTCCTGGGCCAGCGCTTTCTACTGCCAGCTGAGAGCACCAAACCCCAAAGACAGGTACCCACACCCACCTACCTACTGTTTCGGGGGGGTGGGCTGTGGGGTGAGGGTGGGCAGCACCTTCAGACATTAGCTATGAAGTCTGGGACTGAGTGGCAGCCCTCTTGGCTTCCAGAGCTATCTATAGCCCTGTGTGCCTTGAGCAAGTAACATCCCCTCTCTTAGGCCTCGTTCTGCCCATCTGTTCAATAAGGGACTTGAACCGGCTGATTTCTCAAGGCCCTTTTGAGTCCCTTGTTCTTTAGGTCCCTGGTGTAAGGACTAAACAATTGTGTGTGGGTTACGGTTATTCTATGTGCTCTAACAGAGTTACCCCAAAGTCCCAGAGTTTAACACAACAGTTTCCCTCCCATTAAATCTAATGAATGGGGGTGGGGTAAGGGTGGACTTTACTCCAAGGTCACGCAGGGACCCAGGCATTGCCATGCAGCCAGCATATGAAGGGAGACAGTACAGTGCAGGTCCGTGTGGGTTTTCATGAGTCAGGTCTGGCAGTGGCTTATACTTGCACTCCTGTTCCATTGGCTAAAACTATCACGTGGCATACAGTTAATAAAACTGCAAGAGGGACTCGAAAATGTTTAGCTGTGTGCCAGGTGGGAACTGATTTGGTGAACCCTAGCCAGTCTCTGCCATAGTGTGATGGTATATGTGAGTGTCTGTTTGTGTAGAGAAGATATGAATAAGAAACTATGGACAGGGAGGGAGCAGGGGAGGGAAGACCTGCCTTACTTCCATTTTTGGTTAGAGCTGGTTGGAACTCAACCTGGCGGAATGCTGACATGCCTCTCCCACCTCAGGTCCTGGATGAAGCCCTCCTCAGACGCCTCTGCCTGACCCCGGCCCAGGCTGCCCAACTGCCCTTGCATCTCCACCTGCACTGTCTCCATCTTCCAGGCATGAGGCCCAGGGAGGCCCCCATGAAGCTTCTGGCACCCCTACCCCCTTATTTCTCCAGGACCCTACAGTGCCTGGGGCTCCGCCAACAATAGTCTTCCTTCTGTTCCTTCTGTTTCCACTGGCAAACAGTGGGGATGGAGGTGAGGGGAGAGGAGGATGAACCTACGATCAGGCCTGAGGAGAATGAGGTCAGTGCTCAACATGCACTAAGGCCATGCTTTAAGATCCTGGGCTCTGCATTCGGACAAACCTAAGATCAGAGCCTGGCTAGGCCACTTGCTGTATGGTGTTAGGCAGATGACTTCACCTCTCTGCTGAGTTAATAAAAGTACCTACCTCATAATATGGTTTTGAAGATTTGCTGAGAAAGTAAACGTTTATCATGGAGCATACTTTCTGCTGAGTTCAGTATGCGATTTTATTTGGCTGTTTCTGTCCCAGTTCTAGCTGAGAGGAAATATCTAACTTTTTTGTCATTTAATTGTGCTAAAATATACATAACAAAATTTACCATCTTAACCATTTTTTTAAACATTTTTTAAAGATTATTTATTTATTTATTTGACAGACAGATCACAAGTAGGCAGAGAGGCAGGCAGAGAGAGAGGGGGAAGCAGGCTCCCTGCTGAGCAGAGAGCCTGATGTGAGACTCAATCCCAGGATCCTGGGATCATGATCTGAGCCGAAGGCAGAGGCTTAACCCACTGAGCCACCCAGGTGCCCCAACCATCTCAACCATTTTTAAGTGAGCAGTTCAGTGGCATTAAGTATGTTCACATTGTAGTGCAACTGTCCCATCCCATCAGCCTGCAGAACTGAAACTCTGACCCACTAAACACTGACACCCCATCCCATCCTCCCACCTCCCAGTAGCCCCATTCTCCTCTGTGTCTATGAATCTGATTACTCCAGGGACTTCATATAAGTCAAGATCTTAGACCTTTTACTTGAGAAAATTGTTAAATATATCAAACATACGAAGAGTACATAAATAGCTCTGTGATTTAAAGAATAATTACAAGGCGACTCCCATATAAGCACCACTTGGCATGAAATAGAAACATACCTCTCCTTCCCTGTTAGGGTAGCAGTTCTCAACCCTGGCCCCACATTAGAACCCCCTCAGTGAAACTTTTAAAAAGCCCCTTCCTACCCTGGGATTCTGCACCCTAAAGATACCAATTTAATCAGTCTGGGCTGGAGATCCTGGCATCAATCTTTTTTGAAGCTCCCGAAGGGGTTCTACTGTTCAGTCTAGGTTGGAAACTCCTCCCCTGACATGGGAGCTTTCCTTGTTTGTCTTAAGTTTTTCCACCAAATATGCATCTTTGTTGTGTGCTGTGGGTTTGAATTCCAGTGCAAGACTCTCCCAGTTGATCCATTCTACTGTTAACACCATCATTCAGCTCTTAGCACAACACTGGTGTGAAGCTGCTTGTGTGCATTTCCTGGTTCAGTTACGTCAGAGATGCTGGCAGAGTATATGTATCTTCACTTGACTAGAGTATTAGTTTCCTAGGACTGCTGTAACAAAATTACCACAACCTGAGTGGCTTAAGATAACAGAAACTGATTTTCTCAGAGATCTGTCTGGAGGCCAGAAGTCTGAGATGAAGGTGTCAACAGGGCTGTGCTCTCTGAAGTCTCTAGGGATGAATCCTTGCCTCTTCCAGCTCCTGGCGGCTGCAAGCCTTGACTTATGGCCACATCACATCAGTCTGCCCTCATCTTCACATGGTCTTCTCATGTTTGCGTCTTCTAAGGACACTTGTCATTGCATTTAGGGCTCACCTGGATAATCCAGAGTACTCTCATCTCAAGATCCTTAACTTAATCACATCTATGAAGACCATTTTTCCAAAGGAACTTATTCACAGGTTCCAGGCAGATATATCTTTTGGGGGAAGGGAGGCTAACTAACATTCAACTCACTACAACTAAGAAATACCAAAGTTTTTCAGATGGGTGTGGCTGGTCGGATATTTCCTTTCCAGGAGACCATGGGCCCTTGCTGAGGGAGGGACAGACCAACTCGCTCTGGAGAAGGGCTGGTGTTTAGGCGAGGTCCATCCTTCCCCCATCTCATGGTGTAAATCTGACACCTGTTAGATGTCACTCTGCTGCTAGGCCAAGTTCTCCCCTGGACTTGGGCCTTGGGGATCTCCCAGTGGTGAGCAGTCTGGCAATACATCCTAGCCTTCTCACTGCCACATGATCTTGGGCAAGCCATGTCTCCTCGTTCAGACTCCATTTTTTCATCTACAAAGTGAGGCTTATCCCGCAATCCAAGATCAGAGATGCCAGAGAGACACTGCATAGGAAACCCCATGCCTGTCGCTATGGGTGGAATTCTGGCCCTTTGCTTTGTGGAAGGGTGTTTGACAGCCTCTAGCTCTCACTCTGGATGTTGGGGCACAGGGCCCCAGCCTACTGTCTCTTCACCATCCAACAGAAATGGAGCCAAGCCCAGAAAACTTCACTTGCTCCTTTTTATTTGACGCTGCATCCAGGACAGTGGCAGTGAGGACCAAAGCAAGGGCTTCTCTGGCCTCACATCCCCCATGCCCCCTAGCTCCTGGTATGCTTTGATAAAGGGCAGGGGTCCTGGAAGGCTCAGTGTCTTCATGAGGCATGCCTCAGCCTTGGGTTTGTCACAGAGTCTGGTCTTGAACTTGCCTTTGGCTTTGATCTTCCTGTGGGTGCTAGGAAGATTTCCAACTTCAAAAGGTAGAGGCCACAAGGCACTTCCAGGATGGGGACCACGAAGGCGCTGGGAAGCAACAGCCTCGGTGTGAAAGGGGGGAAGAGGTGGAAGAGTTGATCAAGAAATCTGTTCAGGAAGGGGGTTCTGAGGAAAAAAAGCCCTTCCCTTCTGGCTCCAGCCAGCCTAAGACCTGCCCTTGCCTATGCCCTCCAGCCCTGACTCTAGCGCCCTGTATTCAGCACTGCCCACGAGGGTGCAAGTCACAGCTCAAGGCCCACCTTTCTTGGTTTCAGGACGCTGGATGCCAACTTGAGCTCAGTGTTAGGTGGGAAGGAAATCAAAACCTTGGCAGTAGGTAGAGTCATCAAGGCCTTGCCTGTGGTCGACAGGGCCTTAGAGCCCACCAGCTTGCTGTGTTGCAGTCTGAGGACCCGCCCCTGGGATCGGAGCACATGGGGAGAAGGCAGCCGGGCCTTGGTGTGGGTGCCGGGGAAGTGGGAAGGGGCTGTGGGAGCAAAAGGAGCCATGAGGGCCTGGGGAAGGTCCAAGGCCCGACAAGCTGCCCCTCAAGGAGAGCATGAAGGGTGGGGAAGTGGGGGAAGAGGAAGGCTTGGGGTTTGAGATGACAGATGGAGCCCTCCCAGTTTCTCCTCCAGAGGCCGTGGGAAGAACACAGGATTTGGAGTCCAACAGACCTGGGTCTGCATCCCAGCTCTGCCCCTTCTGAGATGTGCAACCTCGGGCAACTTCCTTAAACTTCCTGATACCTCGGCTGGAAAATGGGGATAATAGCACCTACCTTGCTAGGTTGTGAGGACTAAAGGAGCTGGTTAGGTAGCAGCACAGTGCAAACTGTTAAATGCTGTACAGTTACTAGCCCCTTTCCCCCAGAGGCAACTCTGCATAGAGGCAAAGGCAGAATACTGCAGCAGGCAAACCTTGGGCTCTGGAGAGAGATGGACCTGGGGTTGAGTCCTGGCATTTGAAATAAGTCCAGCTGCCTTGCAGGGTGGCTACTTTGGGAGAGAACAATACTCATTTGGTCGTGCATTTAAAAAAAAAAACTTTGGAAGTGGTGGCTTTTCCTTGCTACTAGTGTCTTCTTGGTGGGGCAATGGTGGGGTTGCAAATCCAGGTGGTTAGGAGGGGGGGGAGTGAAGAGCAGGAAGAAATTGCCTTGGAACCCCAGGGTGTTTTGTGGGAATGATCTTACCCAGGGCTTGGGGGTTCTTCGGACTCAATGGCAATCTGCTCAAGGGGTGGGGTTGCCTGTCCCCACTAGCAAAGGTCATGGTGAAAATGCAGCCCATCCTGGTGCTGGGGGGCTCCCACTTCCGGAGGTTGGGGTAGACCAGGGCTGTGGCACTTTTCGCCTTGCCTTTCTTCCCCTTTCCGGGGGCCGAGGTGGTGGCAGTGAAGGTTGGCTTCTCAGTGTGCCCCAGGCTCCTGGCCCCAGCAACTTTCCTAGGAGCTGACCTGTGGGTAAGGGTCCCTGAGTCCTTGCCTTCCCCAGAGCCTCTCTGGGTCAGCAGGTGAGGGAGTGCTGGGCGGACCCCCATTCGCCGGTGACACATTGCCAGGGGCTTCTTGATGGTGGAGCCCTCTACTAGGAGCCGGATACCCACATACTGGGGTACCTCCACGGCAGGCTGTGGAAAAGAAGAGGAGATGAGGCCTGTTCAGACAGTGATGCTGGAATCCTAGGTCCAGAAGGAATCAGGACAGAGATGGATGGAATTAATCTCTGGGCTAAGAAACAGGAAGCCCACCTCTGTCCTCTAAGGAGTCTGGCTCCAGAGGCCTGAATCAATACCTAGAAAGTCACAGAGTCCCTGGGATTAGTAACCCAGTGGAGTCAGAGAGCCTTAGCCATGCTACCACCAGTACCCGCTACCCTTTACCCTCCCCTAAGTTCTCCCAGCCCCTGCTGAAATGTGTGTGGCTCTGCTCCATAAGCCACTGCTGACAGACAGCTTCCTGAGTTGAGCTAGAGTCTCTGCAGACGGAATTTGAGTTATGTCACCCAGATAGATAAGAGGCTTGGAGCCTGTCTGGAGCCCGGCATGAACCCATTATGGGGAAGCAGAAATTAAGAGCTTTAATGAAGGCATTCTACTAAGAGACTGAAGTAGCAAATTTGCAGAAGGAGGCAGAGAAAAAGGTCCAAGAGAGGAGCTCCTGTACAATTTTCAGTTCCTATTAAGCCAGCTGTACATCCTGTAGCTAGGCTTCAGGAAAGCCCCCTGTGTCTTGCTAACGACCCCCCTTTTAACCTTGAGCTACTCTGAGGTATTTTCTGTGTCAGTAGAGGAACCTGATTAGAATCTAAACACCAGAATCACTTGGATCTTGTTAAAAATAACCAAGCCCACAAAACCCAACTGATCAAAGAGGCAAGAATCAAAACTGGGTATCAAAACAAGTTGGTGAAAAGGATGACAGGAAAATGTGTCATGTGCACACAGCCTTGGCATCACTTTACAGAGTAAGTGATCATTGCCAGAGGGAGGAGCCAAGTGACAATGGAGAGATCTGGTAGCTACTGCCCTAACCCCGTAGTCAGACTTAGCATCACTAATCAGGAGACAGTCCAACAGTGTGTGCCTTGTGGCACACATATAAGGCACTCAGCATCACCTCTCAAGTGTTCTTGCCAAAAATGTTTAACCTGAACCTCACCAAGCTGTTTGGCCTAACTTCTAGTTTACAGGACATTGAGATAACAGAAGAACAAGCTAAACAGCACCACGAAGAAACAATCAGATAAATCCAGAATGTGGGACAGTTCTACAAAACAACCAGCCTGGTCCCTTCAAAAGTTCCAAACAAACTATGGGGGAAGAAAAAGCAGTGCCGCTGCTCTAGATTAAAAGAAATTAAAGAGCACCCAAAGGAATAAAACCTGTGACAAATGGAATCAAGGAAGTGAAAGACCTGTACATTGGAAACTAAGATACCAGTGAAAAAAACTGAAGACACAAATAAATGGAAAGATATTCTGTGCTCATGGATTGGAAGAATTAATGTTATTAAAATGTCCACATGACCCAAAGCAATCTACAGATTCAATGCAATCTCTATCAAAATTCCAATGGCATTTTTCACAAAAATAGAAAAAATAATCCTAAATCCTGTATGGAACCACAAAAGACCCTGCACAGTCCAAACAATCTTTTTTTTTTTTTTAAGATTTTTAAGTCATCTTTACACCCAACATGGGGCTCAAAATCATGACCCTGAGATTAAGAGTCACATACTCCACCAACTGAGCCAGCCAGGAGCCCCCAAAAACAATTTTGAGAAAGGAGAACAAAGCTAGAAGCATCACACTTACTGACTTCAAACTGCATTACAAAGCTGTAGCAATCAAACAGTGTGGTACTGGCATAAAAGCAGACACCTAGATCAAATGAGCAGAACATAGAACTGCCCAGAAATAAAGTCACACATACAAGGTGAATTAATTTATTACAAAGGAGATACAAGAAGTATCTCCTTCAGTCTCTTCAATAAATGGTACTGGGAAAACTAGAAGCCACATGCAAAAGAACGAACCCAGACCACAATTTATAACACACATAAAAACCAACTCAAAATAGATTAAAGTGAATTTAAGACCTGAAACCATAAAACCCTTAGAAGAAAACACTGGCAGTACTAAGCTCCTTGCCATCAATCTTGGCAATGATTTTTTTGGATTTGATACCAAAAGTAAAAGCAACAAAAGCAAAAATAAAAACACGGGACTACATCTAACTAAAAAGCTTCTGCAGAACAAAGGAAACCATCAACAAAGTGAAAAGGCAACTCACCAAATGGGAGAAAGTATTTGCAAATCATATATCTGATAAGGGGCTAATATCTAAAATATATAAAGAACTCCTACAAGTCAATGGCAAAAACACAAGTAATCTGATTTAAAAATGGGCAGAGGATCTGAACAGACATTTTTCCAAAGATGACAGATGGCCAACAGGCACATGAAAAGGTGCTCAATGTCACACTAATCTTGGGGGAACTCCAAGTCAAAACCATATGGGATATCACCTCACACGTGTAAAATGGCTATTTTCAAAAAGGTAAGAAACAAGTGTTGGTAAGGATGTGAAGAAAAGGGAACCCTTGTGAACTGTTAGTAAGAACTGGTGCAGCCACTGTGGAAAATAGCATGGAGCTTCCTCAAAAAATTAAAAATAGAATTATCATATGATCCAGCAATTCCACTTCTGAGTATTTATCTGAAGGAAAAAAAAGTATTCCTATCTTGTGTATCTGTACCCCATGTGCATGGCAGCATTATTAACAACAGCCAAGACAAGGAAGCAACATAAGCGTCCATCAATGGATGAATGAATAAAGAAAATGTGACTATCTGTTTAGCTAGCTAGCTAACTAGCTATCATGGAATATTATTTAGACATAAGAAAGAAGGAAATCTTGCCATTTGTGATAAAATGGTTGGGCTTTGAGAGTATCACACTAAGTGAAATAAGTCAGAAAGACAAATATTTCATGATGTAAATTATATGTGAAATCTAAAATAAAAATAAAAACAAAAAAAACCCCTAGAACTCTTAACTCATAGAGAGCCGATTAGCAGTTGCCAGAGGCAGTGGTGAAATGGATGAAGGGGGTCAAAAGGTACAAACATCCAGTTATAAAATAAGCAAATCATGGAGGCGCCTGGGTGGCTCAGTCAGTTATGTGGCCAATTCTTGATTTCAGCTCAGGTCATGAACCCAGGGTTATGAGATCGAGACCCTTCTCAGGCTATGGAACCTGCTTAAGATTCTATCTCTCCCTCTCCCTCTAGCCCTCCCCACCCTGCTCTCTCCCCCTCTCTTAAAAAAGAAAAAAAAAGTAAATCATGGATGTCATGTACAGCATGGTAACTACAGTTGATACTGTATTGCATATTTGAAAGTTGCTAAGAAAGTAGATCTTAAAAGTTTTCATCAGAAGAAAATAAAATTATAACTATGTGTGGTAATGGATGTTAACTAGACTTATCATGGTGATCATTTCACAACATATTTAAATATCAAATATAGGGGCACCTGGATGGCTCAGTGGGTTAATGCCTCTGCCTTCGGCTCAGGTCATGATCTCAGGGTCCTGGGATGGAGCCCCGTGTCGGGCTCTCTGCTCAGCAGGGAGCCTGCTTCCTCCTCTCTCTCTGCCTGCCTCTCTGCCTACTTGTGATTTCTGTCTGTCAAATAAATAAATAAAAATAAATATCAAATATATACATATACAGATATTATATACTTTAAGTAAATATAATACTTACAAGTCAATTATGTCTCAATAAGAGAGATCTAAGATTGATCTAAGTCCCTCAAAGCAGCTACAGATCTTTTAAGCATCCCAAGATATACCCATAGGTCTTATGTTTAAATCTTCAAGACATTTTAAGCTAACAGAGAGGGTTATAGGCACTCTCTGTTAACAGCAGGGCTTCATAATTATGAGGACTATTGTCCTACAGCAGGGTCACAGAGAGAAGAGTTCTAAGGTTTGTGAATATGGCTATCACGTAATAGAACAGATTATAAATTGATACATAAGAAACCCACGATGTTTTTTAAAAAATATCCACTTGGGCTAAAAGGGACAGATACAATATGAAATGAAAGAGGCTTCTGTACCCCCAAATTTCTATGAGCATGTAACAGACTAAGAACTATTGTGGATGTTCATGGAAAAGGAAGGATGATTCAGGGCTGAACTGAGATCCCAATGGATGGAACCAAGAGCCACAGAGAACTCCTGGGAAGTAACAGTGGCTTCTAATCACTAAACTGGAAATATGTGCGAGGCTAGATTTCAGAGTTGCTATGGCCCTATGACTCCTGTGTACCTCCTATCCTGCCTCTCCTTTTTTAGTGGGGTTATCTATAAAGTTAAAAAAGTAAGACAAATTAAGACAAAAACAACCAATGTCAAGTGTGTATCTTGATTACATGTTTGTTTAAAAAACAAAAACAGGGGTGCCTGGGGGGTGGTCTGTCTGTTGAGTGTCTGACTCTTGATTTGGGCTTGGGTTGTGGTCTTGGAGTCATGGGATTGAGCTCTGCATCAGCTCCATACTCAGTGCAGGGTCTGCTTGAGAATCTCTTTCTCCCTCTGCTCTTCCCCCTGCTCATGTTCTCTCTAAAATAATTAAATAAAATCTTAAAAGGATAATAAAAAACAAAAACAAATAAGCAATAAAAGATTTTTGGGACAACTAGGACATCTGAAAAATGCAGATGTGTAGTCCCTAAACCAAACATTTCAGATCAATCTCTGGGGGCATGGCTTCCTGACACCTGTATCTTTGGAAAGCTTGCCAGGCGATTCTGGCCTGTGAACCAGCATTTGGGAACGACTGTGCTAGAACATTCCCTTCCCCTTGGTTTTGTCTTACTTTCCTGCCCTTATATTTCTTCACTTATTTTTTTTATAGATTTATTTGACAGAGAAGAGAGAGAAAGAGCAAGTGTGTACAGAAGCAGACAAAGCAGCAGGCAGGGAGAGAGGGAGAAGCAGGCTCCCTGCTGATCGGAGAGCCCTGTGTGGGGCTTGATCCCAGGATCCTGAGATCCTGACCTGAGCTGAACACAGGTCCTTAACTGAGTGAGCCACCCAGGAGTGCCAAGATTTTTGCTTTTTAAGATTTTATTTATTTATTTGTCAGAGAGAGAGCAAGAGCACGCATAAGCAGGGGGAGCAGCAGGCAGAAGGAGAAGCAGGCTCCCCACTGAGCAGGGAGCCCGATGTGGAACTCTACCCCAGGACCCTGGGATCATGACCTGAGCCGAAAGCAGATGCTTAAAAACCGAGCCACTTCACTTATGTTTTTTGAAAACAAAGTGCCAGTATTAATTTATGATCCGTAATGGTGACAAGACCAGGACACTTGGGTCATGTGATCAGCACGTTCTCTACCTGTGGCCAAACTTTGGTAGAACCTGAATCCCGGTCAGAATGATACCTAGGATTACGATTCTTTTTTTTTTTTTTTCTAAAGATTTTATTTATTTATTTGACAGACAGATCACAAGTAGGCAGAGAGGCAGGCAGAGAGAGAGAGGAGGAAGCAGACTCCTGCTGAGCAGAGCCTGATGCGGGGCTCGATCCCAGGACCCTGGAATCATGACCTGAGCCGAAGGCAGAGGCTTTAACCCACTGAGCCACCCAGGCGCCCCACGATTCTTAATTTAACTGTCAAGAGACTACTTGCAGAGTTCAGAAACTCTTGAAATTGGTTTTCTGACTTTTAAAAATCTTATTCCATTCCAATAAGTAGACTCAAATCTCTTTCTGGAACAAGGGGAGTAAAATTATTACAAAGGAGTAAAATAATAATAATATTAACAGCAGCAGCAGCAGCAGCTTCCACTGACTCTTACCCCATGTCCAGACCTTATATGTGATGCCATTGTGAAACACCGAACAATTTTATTAGGTAGTAACAGTAGCTAAAATCTGTGCACTGACTATGTTCTAGCATTGTTCTAAAGGGCTTTACTTATGTCAACTCATTTAATTATCACAACCTTATGAAGTAGGGACTATTCGCAGTCTTACTTTACAGATGAGGAGACTGAGTGCCACAGGGGTCAGGAAACTGCCCGAAGCCAAACAGCTCATAGTTACTGAGTAGGAATTTGAACCCAGGGAGGTTTTGCTTTTAACACTTTGCTATATGCCTCTCCAGAAATATGATTCACGTGTATATTTTTGTTTTGTTAGTGTTACAATTAATTTTCTTAAATACCAGCGTAGTTAACATACCGTGTTACATCAGTTTCAGGTATTTGTTATAGCAATATAGCGATTCAGCGCTTCCATGCATCACTCCATGCTCACCACAACACATGCCCTCCTTAATCCCCATCACCTGTTTCACCCATCCACCACCTGCCTCCCCTCCCTAACCAACAGTTTGTTCTCCATAGTTAAGCATTGGTTTTGGGTTTATTTTTTTTCCTTCCCTTTGTTTTGTTTCTTAAATTCCACATGTGAGTGAAATCATATGGTATTTGCCTTTCTCTTACAGGCTTATTTTACTTAGCATTATACTCTCTAGCTCCATCCATGTTGTTGTAAATGGCAAGATTTCAGCTTTATGGCTGAATAATGTTTCACTGTATATACCACACTTTCTTTAACTATTGATGAATACTTAGGCTATGTCCATAATTTGGCCATTGTAAATAATGCTGCAGTGAACAGCGGGTGCATATTTATCCCTTCAAATTAGTGTTTTGTATTCTTTGGGTAAATACCCAGTTGTGCAATGACTGGATCGTAGGGATGATCCACACATATTAACTCATCTTCATCCTCCCAAACCCTATGAGAAAGATGGTAATGGCATCTCCATTTTACAGATGAGGAAACGGAGTCTCAAGGGTACAAGTGGTGGTACTGAGACAGCGTAGCAAGACCAGAACTTGAACCAGTTCTGTCCAACTGCAATGCCCTGTGTTTCACTCTAGGGACGCCTGGAAAGGGGGGCAGACTCCCCAGGTCTTGTCTGGGCTCTACCTCACCTGCTTGTAGATGAGCTCAAAGGCTCCTGTGTCACAGTTGCGGTCTAGCCGCCGGTCGATGACCACGCGCAGGGTATCGGCTTGCACACCTGCACACAGCCGGGCGGTGACAGCAGTGGAGGGGGCCATGGTAGGGCTGGCATTGATCTCGATCAGCCAGGGCTGGAAGTCCTCACCAAACACAAAGTCAGCACCGTAGAGCTCGAAGCTGGCCTTCCGACACTGCACGGTGTCCTGGGAGGTCTGCAGGGCATGGATCACAGCAGCCTTCATGCCGGGCACAATGACGTTGGACCAAGCATCTGGGGCCCCCATCTCCTTCAGGTGGTCCTGGAACTTCTGGCTCGACCACATGTTGTCCGAGGGCAGGAGTGGGTGCCGATGGCATGAATTCTCCAGGTGCTTCTGAATGGAGTTGTTGCACAGGTGCACTGAGCTGGGGCAGAGAGCAGAAAGCTGGGGTCTGGCTCCCTGAGCCTCTCCCACCCAAATGTGGGGAGGGCAGGCAGACCCTGGAACTACCCCTGGGCCACCCCAGACCATTTACCTTGAGATGGGACTCTGTGAGGAAGGGCAAGAAGGACAAAGGCCTGGGCCCTGCTATATTCTTGCAGGGCCAGAACCAGTCTCATCCCTCTGAGGGCACTCCCTATGGGGCCACAGAACTATGTGCTTTAGTCTCAGTTAGCCCTCCCAGCGCCTGGAAGGTATGAAGGTGGGTAGGGGTGTGGGCCCTGTAGTCAACAAGACTGCTCAACACAAAAAAAACAAAAACAAAAACAAAAAAACAGACTGCTCAAGGCCTACCTTCACCACTGACTAGTTGTGAGATCTTTTCACCCAAGTGCTCCTTCACATCTATAAAATGGGGGTCGTACTAGAACCCACTTCACCGGGATTTCATGAATGAGTGAGACAAAATGAATGAAGTGCTTAGCACCTGTCACATATGAAGAATTCAGTAACCGATAGCTATGAGTTTCATAATACTGCCTCCATTCTTCAGATGTGAAAAGTGAAGCCTCAATAGGTTTCACGTGACCAAAGTCACCCAGCTTAGCAGCTACAGCAATGGAATTTGAACCCAGGACTCAACAAGGCTTTTTTCTCATCCCCCGAGTTAACACTGCAACTTGCCTCTCTCTTTTTGCATGTCTTCTGAACCCTCTTACCCTGCTCTATGTTCCTTTTTTTTAAATAACACGTACCATCTTTAAACCCATTAGATAATTTTACTTATTACGTTCATCGCTTATCTATGAGAAACAGCATTAAAATGATGCCTTATAAGCATAAGGTATTTAACTTCACTCATTATAAAAGAGGTAAAATTAAAATAAGATAACCATTTTTGGTTTAGAATGGTAAAAATAATCAACATTGTTGGGCAGGATGAGGGCCCAGCTTATGTGCAGGAATTGTGAACTCTTGAGAACTGGGCTCTTATTTTGGTCATTGCTGTATCCCAAGTGCTTAGAACACCCTTGGTAGATAGCTATTGGATGGATGGAGGACCTGACTGCCTGCAGTCTGTGTTTGGAGCCCAGCGTGGCATGGGGGATCCACCTGTTCCTTGCCAGCTCCCCAGCTAGACCAGGAGCTCAGAGAAGGTAAGAGAGAGGCTCACTTGTCAAGGTTCTTCAAAGAGAAGGGCTGTGTGGAGAAGCGGATGTAGCTGTCACGATAGAACCACACGGTAAGTGGGTTCCAGTCGGTCACCAGGAACCACTGTCTCAGGTCAAATTTGGTGCCAAAGATGAGCAGAGGCCGTTCAATATACTTTTGTACCACCCACTTGCCGTCCTTCATCATCATGGGATTGCCATCTACCAGCTTCAGCATCTCCTCCAGGTGGTCCATACACATGATGCCTACGTGGGGAAACAGGGTGGTCAGAGATCAGGTCAGGCTTGGGTGAGGAGAAGGACCAGGGGACCATGAACAGCTCATCTTAAGCCCTCCTTCCCATAGAACTGATAGGGCCAAGTAGGTAAGGCTGCTTCCCTCGGAACCCTGTTCCCTTTGGGAAAGCTGAGAATCTGCTGAAGATGAAAACATTTTTTTTATTAACCACTATTGTTTGATTGAAAAGTAATATATGCACAGAAAAAAAAATCAAACCATATTGGGCTTTTTATTTTATTTTATTTTTTAAATAAAACATTTTTTTTTTATTTGACAGAGAGAGAGTGATCACAAGTAGGCAGAGCAGTAGGCAGAGAGTGGGGGAAGCAGGCTCCCGGCTGAGCAGGGAGCCCGATGTGGGGCTTGATCCTGGCACCCTGAGATCATGATCTGAGGCAAAGGCAGAAGCTCAACCCACTGAGCCACCCAGGCGCCCCCATATTGGGCTTTTTAAAAAACCATGTGCATTTATGACTTTGATTAGTTTTTTCCCAATAATTAACAGAATATAAAATAACAAAAAGAAAAAGCAGGCAGCCAACTGCTGCTTCCAATGTATATCCTTCCAAGTTATGGGAGAGTCTATGTGCCTCCGTTTGTTAGGATTCTATACCTAAACACGTTAAAGATTTAAAATATTCTTGGCCCATAGTGAGAATTCAGTAAATGTTAATTCCTACCATCATTATTAGTTATCTGCAGAATAAATATCTAGCTGTGGATTTCCTGGCTCCAGGGATACATATGTACATGCTTTCATTCTATACTACCCAAGATGTTCTACCAATTTGCACTCCCAGTAAAAGTGTATGATATTATGTATCTGCCCACATCCTACCCAACACTATTGATTCTTTTGGCTATTCTTCTAAGTAGAAAATGGTTATCTTATTTTATCTCTTTTATAACAAGTGACATTAAGTATCTTATATTTATAAAGCATCATTTTAATACTGATAATGATCAGAGTCATGTTGCAAACATACGTATTCACAAATCAATCTCATTCCTTCATTCTTTGGTCCCAAAGCAGCCCAATCACCTGCTAATGGCACAGAATAACCTGTGCCTTGTTCCCAAGCCACATCCTTTCTCAAATGGCCAGAGTGATCACCAAGATTCCCAAGAATATGATTCCCTGCATAACAAAAATTAAGGCTGTTCATATCCTTAGACACAGCAATTTCGTTTTTAGAAATATATCCTAAGGAAATGAAAGGCCACAAAGATGTCTGCATAGGATGCTGATGATAGTTTTGCTTGTAACAGCAGTCAGTAAACAAACAAATAGGGGAAAAAACTGGCTGCCATCTAAATATCCATCAGAAATGAATTAGGTAAATCTATGACAGTATATCTAAATGAGAGTGGAGTATGCAGCTGTAGAACAGAATGAGATAAGACAGCACATACTGTTCTTTAATATAATATCCCAAACTAAACACCACTAATCTAGTATATTATAAATTAGAACAGGGGTTACCATTGCGGTGGTACATAGAGATGGGAAGGGGCTTGGAAGGGTCCTTCTAGGGTGTAGGTAATATTTTATTTCATGATCTGGGTCCTATTTTCACAAGTGTGTTCACTTTATGATAATTTGTTGAGTTGTATATTTACACCTGTATATACCCTCTTCAATGGAGTATCACATACACATTTCAGCTTTTCTTAAAGAACCAGAGATAGAATGTTGAAATTTGGTACAAGATACATGGGTATTCACTGTGTTACTCTCTCTAGTTTTGTGTATTTTGAAAATGTCCATGGGACACCTGTGTGGCTCAGTTGGTTGAGCATCTAACTCTTGGTTTCAGCTCAGGTCAAATGTGTGTGATAGAGGCCCGTGTTGGCCCCACACGGAGTCTCTCTGCCCCAAGCAGAAAGTCAGCCTGAAGATTCTCTCCCTCTGCCCTACCACTCCACTCGCAAGTGCACAGCTCACTCTCTCTCTCTCTCTCAAATAAATCTATTTTTTTAAAGAGTTATTTATTTATTTGACAGAGAGACAGACAGGAAGAGAGGGAACACAAGTGGGGGAGTGTGAGAGGGAGAAGCAGACTTCCTGTTGAGCAGGGAGCCCAATGCGGGGCTCGATCCCAGCACACTGGGATCATGACCTGAGCTGAAGGCAGACACTTAATGGCTGAGCCACCCAGGTGCCCCTCAAATAAATAATCTTTAAAAAAAAAAAAAAAGGAAGAGTACCCATAACAATAAGTTAAAAATAGGAAAAAAAAAAAAAGAAAAAGACAGATCTAGATGTACTGAAATGAACTGATCTCTAAGATCTATCGTTAAGAAAAAGAAAAGTGCAAAAAAGAAATGAGTAATACTAACTGATATGGAAAGATATAAGTGAGAAAAGGCTACAGAACAACATATGTTGTTTAAAATAAAACACACAGTGGGTGCCTGGGTGGCTCAGTTGGTTAAGCGTCTGCCTTCAGCTCAGGTCCTGATCTCGGGGTCCTGGGATCGAGGGCCGTGTTGGGTTCCCCGCTTGGCAGGGAGTCTGCTTCTCCCACTCCCCCCTGCTTGTACTCTCTCTCATGCTCTCTCTCTCTAAGAAATAAAAATCTTAAAAATAAAATAAAACACACACATACACACAACCCTTTCCATCTCTCTCCTCAAATGCATAGAAGAAACTAAAGAAACACACTCAACAGTTAACAGTAGTTATCTCAGTAAAACTAAGAGTGGCTTTGCTTTTTTCCTTTTACTTTCCTGTATTTTCTGGTCTTTTTTTTTTCTTTTCTTTACTTTGGGAGAGCAAGTGAGTGCTCGCATGCACACGCCAGAGGCCAGAGTGGGATGGGGAGATGGAGGCAGGGTAGAGGGAGAGGGAGATAGAGGATCTCAAGCAGGCTCCCTGCTAAGCACAGAGCCCAGTGCGGAGCCTGATCTTATGACTGAGCCACTCTGGCGTCCCCAGTCTTTCTTTTTTATATTTTTTATTTTTTTAAAAGATTTTATTTATTTGACAGAGAGAGATCACAAGTAGGCAGAGAGGCAGGCAGAGAGAGAGGGGGGAAAGCAGGCTCCCCACTGAGCAGAGAGCCCGATGCGGGGTTCGATCCCAGGACCCTGGGAGCATGACCTGAGCTGAAGGCAGAGGCTTAACCCACTGAGCCACCCAGGTGCCCCCTTTCTTTTTTAAAAAATAATAAATACATATTTTCATAATTGGAAGAAAACCACACAAATATTTTCAAGATAGGAAAAGAAAAGACCAACATGATGATTTTGAAGTGATATCCCCAAATGTCCCAGTGTCTGGACCTTTCACTTGGACATGAACCAATTCATCCAAAAACAGTATTTGGAAGAATCTGGAACTCTGTTTTCCACATCTTGTGAGTCCTTAACCAGATTTTTCAGGCTGGGCTAGTGCAGCACCCCAGCTTGCTGGCTCTCCTGTTATAACTCCTCCCATTGGGCTGAGCAGCCAGAATAATAGCTAAAAATAATAGCACTGACATAGCAGTTACTATGGAAAAGCACATGTTATACTTACTTAAAATTAGGTAATACTAGTTCCATTTACCAAATGATGAAATGAGGTAGAGAAGAGGTTAACTATCCTGCCCAAAGTCTTACAGATAGTAGGAGGCAAAGTCTGGGCTTGACCTGATGTAGTCTGGCTCTCAGCATCCATTTCCTTAATACTATGCTACTTCACAAGGATGCACTGGTCAAATCAGAGAGCCCTTAGATGACGGGCTACAAGTATCACCAGACCCACTTAAAGCATTAACCCAATTCTGACAGCAGGAGAGGAGATGACAATATCGTCACAGCAGCCAACATTTATGGGGTGATTACTCTGTGTCAGGGACCATGCTGAGCTTTAGACACACCACCTCATTTAATCCTCACCTCACAGGTTATGATCATCCCTCACAGGTGAAGGAACTGAGATTCAGAGAGGTGATGTAACTTGTTCAAGGTCACACAGCATGTTAGTAGCAAAGCTGGGATTCAAACCCATGCAGTTTGGCCCCAATACAGCCTGCACTATTAATCTCCCCAGCCTCTAGCTGGATAGGCAGGCTGTAGGGCACTGGTGTAGGAAGCAGGGGCTTACTCCCACCTCGTCCTCGGGACTTGGCTCCCGGCTTCACGATCCAGATGTTGCGATCTCCTTCCATGTCCATCTGGGGCACCACAGCCCGCAGCTGCTGCAGGATGTCCTCACAGCGCTGGACCTGAGCGTCAAGGTGCCTGAGTTCTGCCCCCTCACTGTGGGGAGATGATGGGACATGGGCAGGGCTGAGTCTGGGGGCAGTCTGGTGGACAAGGCAAGAGGAGACAAGAGCCCAACCCCCGGCCATGGTCCAAGCCAGGGTTACACCTTTCCCTAACAGATGCAGATAGGTCTCCTCCAAACCTCCTTCCCACCCTCAAGCTGTCCCACAAATTCTAACCAGCCCAGGGAGCCATCTGAGAGTGCTGGAATAGGAGAGAAGGGGAACATTCCACATTTCACATGCTGTCCCACTCTAACACTCCACCATCTGTCACCTTCCTTCTGTTACCATAAAACTGCCTTTGGCAGAATTTAATCACACGAGCATCTGATCGTGAGGCACCACTATCTGCCAGGCACTGTGCTAGGGGCTTCACATACATCATCACTAACCCTCCCTATGGCCCTGCCAAGGAGGCATTACTGGTCCCATTTTGGAGAAGTGTCAACTGAAGCTGGGAGAGTTCAGAGATTCGTCCAAGGCCACATACTGAGTTCAGTGGCCGAGCCAGGATGCAAACTCTGTCCTGCCTGATCCCTCGACCCACAGGCACTTTTTGGGGTTCATTTCCCCTCCAAACCTGGACTGACAACGGGTTGATAGGTGGATTCCTTCCTGGTCTAACTCTTTTCAAGCACATCTGTATCACACAGCCCCTTGCCTTGTCTCTCTTCTCATCACTTACCACCCACACCTATGCTTATGCATGTTCTTTACACCTAATGTTCTAACTCAGTCTTGTAATTCTTAGTTTAAGAAGGGTAGCTTTTCTGGTATTTTTCTGATAGTTAAGGGGAAAGTATAGGGTCATCTAGTTTTTAATTTCTAACATTTAAAAAGATACAAATGAATTATTTATCAATGATGCAGGTTTGCTCAGCATGTCATTCATTCAAAGTTCACTTATCAGTTCCTTAGTCTCCCCTATCAAAATCAGCAAGTCTGCCCACTCCTTCCTATTACTACCGCAGCTGAGGCCCTTAGCACTCCCACCTGGCTTGCTGCAAGCCTCCCCACTTGAGCTGTTTATCCCCTTGAGGGCAGGGACTATACTTTATTTCTGGAGCCTGGCACCATGCTGGGCATATAGGAAGTGCTCAATAAATGCTGGATGTTCTCTTGCCATCTGAGCACTTCTTCCCTTCTCTCTCCTGCACACCTCTGCTAAATGGAATCCCAGTCTCAACTCCCTTCCTCTGATCAAGAACCTTTTCCCAGAGTGTCTTCCGAAAATATAGTCCCTCAGGATGCCTGTGGAGGGGTGGGGGGTGGAGGGGGTCACATAATAACAGGATATATACTGTACCCATATCTCTCTTGGAGGTTAACACCACCCACAGGTTCTGATAAGTCCTGCATCAAGGAATTAATTAACTTTGCTTAACCCAATGTTTTCCAAATGCAATGGACCACAAAAATCTTTCTTTCATAAATCGATTTCTGTCCTGCAGAACTAAGTATCCCATGCAACACACTTTGGGAAACACTGGCCTCCGAATAAAACCTAAACAACTTAATAGATTCTCATTTTGTGAGTAAATACTGAGTCTGTGCAGAGCACATAACACAGATTATCCTGTCTAATCCTACCTTTGAGTCAGACATTATTTTAAAATCTATTTTGCATGTGCAAAGTAAAGCTCAGAAAGATTAGTGATGTTGCCAAGGTCAAAGAGCTTGGAAGCTGCAAAGTTAGGACTATCTGATAGGGCTGGCCATGATCTTAGTCATTATGCTAAGCTGAGATTCAGGAAGAATCTCAGAAGAATCTTAGAAGAATCTACCATGAAGGCAGTGGGAGTCCCTGAGAGTTCTTGAGCAGAAGCAGCAGGGCAAACAAAAGGGGTAGGTCTGGGGAAGAGAGAGGGGCTACACTACATACGCATCAGCTCAGAACGCAGAAGCCCTGAGAACAAGGGGAACCTGCCCGCAGCCCACTGTCCTAGCGGCAGAGGTACTCACTGAACCACTTGGTAGTAGCGCTGGAGGAAGATGGACCAGCCCTCAGGGCTGAGGTACAGCGGCGCCCCCAGGTCCTTGTCGATGTCCATGTGAGCCAGGTTGCTAAGGTGCTCTTCACAGGCGCACAGAGCCTCGTCCACAAACTCTGGGGACACCATCACTGGCTTTTTCTCCTGTTTCTTGGGCTGCTTGTCTCCTGAAGATAGGAAGGAACCTGTCACTAACCGATAGGCAAGGCATAGAACATGACACATGCCACAGCCCCCACTGCTCCAAGGCCTGTCATTTACACGAGGCCTTACCTTGCATACACCTGAGGCTCAGCACACACCTGTATCTCCTACTGTCCTGGGACCTGTCACTTACCCGAGGGTTTGTTCTAAATTTCCCTGTGACCCTAGTACTCACCCTTGGCCCTCACTGTCCCAGGGCCTGTCATCCACTTGAGGTTCCACCCTAAATATCCCAGAGCTTCTCAGCCCCTGTAGCCCCAGCACACACCTGCAGCCTCTCTGTTCCTGGGACCTCTGACACACCTGAGGCCCTTGTGTCCCTGATCCCGGCACACCACAGTTTTCTTTGTACCTGACACACCCAGGAGATAGCAATGGAGAGGTCTCTCTCTGGAAGAGGCAGGATTTTCCTCCATCCAGTAGAGCTGTCCCTTATTTCCCCTGACACCATGGCCCTTGGATTATAGGATGGGAACTCTGAGGTAGGAGCTAAGTTCAGAGACAGGGAGAGCAAGCAATGGGTTGGGACAACATGCAGTAGGGGATTCTCTCTGTCCCCCTCCACAAGGCACAAGGGGTCCTCAGACCACGTGAAACTACATGGTTCCAATACTTCTTCCTCCTCAGAGATGTGAGCTCCCCACAGGCAGGGATGGACCATGTCTTCTTAGTCTGTCCTCTCCATAGTGCTCGGCCACATGCCAGGCCCATGGAGAGCTGAATGATGCGATGGATTAACAAATGAATCAGAAGACAGGTGGGAGGGTGGCTGGGAGGACAGATGAATGGGTGGGCTGGAAGATACATGGGCGGTGGATAGGAGAATCCCTAAAAGCAGGGAGACAGATGGTTAGGTGGATTTGTGGGAGGGTGGGTAGAAAGGTGGAGGAGTAGACAGATTCATGAGGAGTGTGGAGTGTGGAGCTGAGAGAAGGTATGTGAATGAGGAGATCAATAGTAGGGGGATAGTGATGGGTGACTGGATGGATGGATGGGGGGTGAATGCGAGCTGAGTGGGTAGGAATAGGTGAGTAGAAAGTTAGATGGATGAGTAGATGGATGGATGGACAATTGGGGGGAGGGGGTAGATGTAGGGATGGGTGGGTGGGAAGGGGTGATGGAGGAGATGAATGTGGCTAATACATAGATAGATGTATACATAAACAGATGGATGGGTGAGAAGATAAAAATAATAGGTGGGGAGTGAGGGTAACTATAGTACTTGCCTGGGGCTTCTTCCTCTTCTGCCTGGATAGAGTATGACTTCCATTCGGACTTTACCACCAGCTTGAGAACGTTGCGGGCAGCTGTCAGCCAGAAGTCCTCTGCTCCCAGGGCAGGGGATACCCTGCTCAGCCTCTAGGCTCGAAGCCTGTTCTGGTTCTGGAACCTGATCATAACCTGCCCCATTTTGGATCCGGAACCTAACTACCTTCTGACTCTACACTCTGGGGTTAGAACCTGGCTCCTGTTCAGTTGTAGAACCAGGCCTAGAATCTGATATGGCTCATATTCTGCCTTCAGAATCTTGCCTGAACCTGTTGTCTCATTTCCCCCTTCTGTTTCTGATCCACTTTTGATAACTTATTCTAGCTTGAGAACCAGACCTGAGCATAAAAACTATGTCAGGTTTGGAGATGAATTCAGACCTAATATCTAATCTGTACACAAATTCTGACCTGAATTTTAGAATGGAAACTCTTCCGCCTTTAGGAGCCCAAAGTTTAGACCCTTTTCTAAATTTGGAACCCAGTCTAGCCAGTGGAATTTGACATAGGCCTGGAACATACTGTGGGCTCCAAACTCAATCCATTGACCAACTTTTAGAACCTGCTTTAGGATGCAGTCTAAGCTATCTAAGCTCTTCTGGAGGTCTGGATTGACCAAGCTAGATAGTTCATTAAGGGAGGCACATTAGGGAAGGGTAGGGTAGGGGATGGAGGAGGAAATCTGCTGGGTTGGATGAGGACATAAAGAGAGGCTCTCTGCTCTCTAACGTGAACACATTTTAGCCCTCGTGCTTCGGCCTGGGAGTCCAGGCATGGGGCTGGCTTCTCCTTACCTATGAAGGCCTTTTTGTCATCCTCAGCCCCCAGGCGGTAGCAGCGTGGAAAGAAGGAGTCAGCATCAGCCTCATCAAACCACGGCAAATTCCGGAGATTGAGACATAGACCCACCTATGGAGTTAGCTGCTGAGGGGGCATAGTGGGACTTGCCGAGACACCTCCAAGGGACTCCCCACATTCAGTACACACCCAGACAGCTCAGGGAGACCCTGCTTGAGTGTTCTCAGAGCCTCTGCCACACTTGCTAGGCCTGACTTACTCATATCCATCTCCATGTGTATGTTCACGCAGTTTGCCCTGCCAAGAATGCCCCACACCCCTCCTATCCATCCTTTCACATTCTTAAAGAACTGCCTCCTCTGGGAAGCCTCCCCAGCCCATACCACTAACATAATAGCATGTTCCAATAATAAAGCCCTTCATTCTTGCCACAACCCTATAAAGTAGGTCCTACTGGTGTTCTCATTTAAAGACAAGGAAACTGAGGTTAGAAGTGAAGTCACTTGTTAATAAACCCAGATGAGACAGAATGCATCCAGCAGCCGGATATCCCTTGCTTAGTTAGTAAGGGCTCTATTGTTTACGGTCATTAGACTTGGTGTTTTTCTGGCTCCAGATCCTATTTGGATCCTGGAGTCTATTTTAATCATTATGTCTACATGTGCCAGACATGATGCAGGGGCTGGATTCGAACTCAGGCTGCCTGACTCCAAATCCCACAGAATCATATACCTCTCTGCCTCCTGAGAACTCTCTTTTCCTGACAGGGAAAGCAGGCAGTGGAGTTGTCAGCCCAAGGGCTAATGGGTTAGAAGCTGCCATGCCCACTCCCCTGGGGAACCCACCTTTGTGGTAAAGGAGCCAGCCCGGGCATAGTGGTTTATCATTTGATCCTTGGAGAGGAAGCGACAGTCCAGCACATCCCGCCGAGTGGTCCAGATGAAATAGGGAACCTCGTTCCGAACCATGCGGGACTAAGGAGAGCCGAGGAGACAGGAGAGGCTGGGGTGGGCAGCCCAGGGCCTGAGGAAACTTCTCCCCGGCCTGTTGAGTAGGGTGGGAGTATGGAAGGAGAAGATGCTTCTGAGGTGGCCTCTAGCCCACACCCCATCTTTATGTGTGTTAAGAAGACATCTCTTCCTCCAGAGCACACACTTGTGAGCAGAAAAGAGGCTGACTTACAGAACTTCTTTTGGCCAGGTGCCCCTACACAGTGACTAAGCCACACAACTGAATGTCGCCCCTTTGTTTTGGCCCATGGCTATCAGTGACTTGCTCAGTGGCAGGACAGTGACTCCAGGCTGATGGGCACATGTGACAAAGGTTCTCTCAGGGTTCTTCCACCCCTATCATTCCCACAGCTCTGGGAGGTAGGGTTACTCGTAGGCAATGACATCACATGCCAGGCCCTATTCTAAGTGCTTTTCTTCCTTTCTTTCCTTTTAAGTGCTTTTTTTAAAAAAGGATTTTATTTATTTGACAGAGATCACAAGTAGGCAGGGAGGCAGAAAGAGAGAGGGGGGGAGGCAGGCTCCCTGCTGAGCAGAGAGCCCGATGGAGGGCTCGATCTCAGGACCCTGGGATCATGACCTGAGCTGAAGGCAGAGGCTTAACCCACTGAGCCACCCAGGCAACCCTCCTTTTAAGTGCCTTTGACATCAATTCACTTAATCCTCAGCACGAAGTAGGTGCTACTATTATCCCCTTTCACAGGTAAGGGAATTGAGGCACTGGGAGGGCAGGTGACTTGTCCAAGAGCCCACACAGTTAAGCCATATGAAATTGCCAGTGTTCAGTCTTTTCTGATATACAAAAATGGCAATTTGGTATGTTCAGCTTAGTAAGTGGTGGTGCCAAGATCCAAAGCCAAGCGTCCTCACTTTGATACAGAGGTGTCCTCCCCTCCACATCATCACATCAGCCCTTTCAGAGCTTTTTAAGCCCTTCCTTCCAGCCTTCACTTGCCAAGGGCAGAGGAAGGCTGTGAAATATAGGGTTTTATTTAGAAAGGGGAATTACCAGGTGTGGAGGTTATGCTAGCTTCTGGTATAACCTAGCAGGATTCTGATCCCAGGCCAGCCTTGTCTGAGCCCCACTGTGCCCCTCACCACTCTGCTGGACCATCCAGGCTTTATAGAAGCAATCTGTTTTTAGTGTGGATAGGGAAAATGAGGCCCAGAGAAGTCCTCACTCTCTCAGCCCCTCCCTACCAGCCCCCCAGGGGCCCTCACCATCAGAGCATGTGTCCCATCTAGGTCATCAAATTCCAGGAAATCATCAAAGTCAAACAGCTGCGGTGGCCGAAATGCCTCGTCCTCATCTTCATCCTCTGTGGACGTAGAGCACCGGCCTGGTGAGGCTCCTGTCCCTGCCCCATAGACCCATACCAAAGTCTCAACCCTGGGAGAGCAAGAACCAAAGGAAAGAGACTCAGGAGCATCATCCTGCAGAAAGGGAGGGAAGTTCTTACCATCCTCAGTGGTGTCACTGTCACCGATTACCGAGCTATCCAGATCCTTCTGGGATGGTGGCAGAATGGTGCCCGAGTGATGGACCATCTTCTTCTCCACCCAGCCTCTCCGGCGCAAGAGGCACCGTATCACTGGGTAGCGGCCTTGGATCAGAAAGATCTTTTTCTGCTGTAAGGTGAGAGGAGGACACTTGGTCAGTATCATCCAAGCTCCAGACCATGGGATATAGTGGTGAACAAGTTCTGGTTTCTGCCTTCAGGAAATTTTTATGTTCCAGCAGGGAAGATAGATTATAATCAAACAGGGAAAATAAACACGAATAGTTAATAGTTATAATGGTAAGAGCTAATAATTATTGTGTACCTACTGTACACTGCTTAGTTTATATATACTACTAACAATGATATGTATTTTTTATTATTTTTTAAAAATATTTTATTTATTTATTTGACAGCGAGAGAGGGAACACAAGCAGGGGGAGTGAGATAGGGAGAAGCAGGCTTCTCACTGAGCAAGGAGCCCAATGTGGGGCTCAATCACATGACCCTGGGATCAAGCCCCACGTCGGGCTCTCTGCTCAGCAGAGAGCCTGCTTCCTCCTCTCTCTCTGCCTGCTTCTCTGCCTACTTGTGATCTCCCTCTCTCTGTCAAATAAATAAATAAAATCTTTTTTTAAATTTATTTATTTGAGAGAGACAGAGACAGAGAAAGCATGAGCAGGGGGTACAGAGGGAAAGGGAGAGAATCTCAAGCGGACTCTGCACTGTGAAGCCCAATGTGGGGCTCAGTCTCACGATACTGAGATCATGACCTGAGCTGAAACCAAGAGTTGGACACTTAACTGAATGCACCATCCAGGTGCCCCCATAATATGTATTCTTTAAAAGATTTTATTTATTTATTTGACAGACAGAGATCACAAGTAGGCAGAGAGGCAGGCAGAGAGAGAGGGGGAAACAGGCTCCCTGCTGAGCAGAGAGCCCGACGTGGAGCTTGATCCCAGGACTCTGGGATCATGACCTGAGCCGAAGGCAGAGGCTTTAACCCACTGAGCCACCCAGGCACCCCTAATATGTATTTTTAATAGGTGCTATTTCCCCACATAACTTATTATGAAACAGAGGCATAGAGAGGTTGACTAGTTTGGCTACACAGTGATTAAGTGAAAGAGCAAGGACTAAAATCCAGATTGGTTGCTCCCACAACTGGATACATAATGGGGACTCACAATAAAAGTACATACATGGGAAGGGTAAAAAGCAACCATGAGTATACAGAGCTGGGCAAATGGCAGTTCAGGCAGAGGGAAAAGCATGTGCAAAGATCTTGAGGCTCTGAGGTCAGAAGAAATTGGAAGGAAGCCAGTGAGAATGGGGTGTGAAAAACAAGGGGACGGCTGAGGAAGCTGGTAGCAGCTAGACTGTGGAGGGCCCTGCAGGCCTTGAAGAGACTGGGATTTTCTATTAAGAGCAGCATGAAGCAATGAAGACAAAGTGAGGGCATGATAGGATTGGAGGGTTTACAAGTTTGGCTTGTTGCTATACAGAGAACAGATGAAGGGGCCAGGGAGGGAAGCAGGGAGAAGGGTTAGAAAGCTGTTACAAAAATAAATAAAATTAAATAAAATAGGGGCACCTTTAACTCAGGTTAAAGCCTCTGCCTTCTGCTCAGGTCATGATCTCAGGGTCCTGGGATCAAGCCCCACATCGGGCTGTCTGCTCAGCAGGGAGCCCGCTTCCTCCTCTCTCTCTCTGCCTACTTGTGATCTCTCTCTGTGTCAAATAAATAAATAAAATCTTTTAAAAAATTAAGTAAAATAAAAGGCTGTTGTGATTTGTGCAGGAGAAAAACCACAATAGCTAAAATGAGGGTGAAAATGTGGAGAATGTGACAGAGTAGAGACCTGTTTTGGAAATAGAGGTCACTGGTTTTGCTGATGGAATTAGATGTGTAGAAGGTGAACAGAGCATCTGGCTGGCTCAGTCAATATAGTATGTGACTCTCGATCTTGGGATTTTGAGTTTAAGCCCCATGTTTGGCATAGAGGTTACTTAAAAAAAAAAAATCAGGACTGTCTAGATGTGTGGGTGAATGAACAGAAAGATCATATTTCCAGCTTGAGCAACTGGTTGATGAGGAAAATGGGAGATTAGGGAGAACGACAGATTTAGGCAGGAAAATGAAAAGTATGGTTTGAGGCATAGGTTTGGAATGGTTCTAAGTTCTCTCTGGGTGAAGATATCAAGTAGGGGGCTAGATCTAAGGAATGTGTAGTTAATGGAGAGGCTGGGCTGCAAGGGGCACCTAGAGGGCACAGCACATTTACTGGACTCACAGTCAAGGAGACAGGTGTGGGGAGGGATCCAGGAAACCAGGAAAGCTCCAAGGATCCTTCAAAGGCAACTGTAAAGCAGCAGCCAGGGAGGGAGAAAGGAAAACTAGGTGTATGCAGACAGCCAAGGGGTAAGGGTATGTAGGGCAATAGTGTAGAATGACACGAGGTACCAGACCGAGATTAGGGCAGAAAAGGGGCTGCTGGATTTGCCTCCTTGGAGGTCATGAGTGACCTTGACTAGAGTGGTTCCCCATGGTAATGGGAAAGGTTAGGAACCAGAGTGGTAAGAGCTGAAGGGGTGAATGCCAGGTAAAGAAGTTACACAATTCCGCCAGAAAGGGTACTGAAAACTTTGGAATATTTTAAGATGGGTGTGGGATCAAGGCTTTTGGTTTTGTCTGTTTTTAAAGGATGTAAGAAGACAGTTCAGGGAGGCAGGCTAAGCCACTCTGCGGACACCCCCCAGCCCCCTCCAACCTTGACAGCTCTCTCCACGTGGATTCTGGCGTTTCTGAGCCGGCCCATGTGGTGAGATGGCTTGGAGAATCCTCGCCAGAGGACAAGGGAACCTGCAGAAAGATGCAGAGTAGGGATGGGGCAGGCTGGAGGCTCAGCCTAGAGTCTCTCCCGGCCTCCAATGACCACACTCCTTTCTCCGCTCTTCATCCGGAGCCCACACTCTCCCGACCACCTCTTATTCCCTCCAACCCAAGTCTTCTTGTTCTTGCAACCACCTCCGGCCACGATGGGCGGGCGGCAACGGGCCTCACCGTCCCGCGACTGGCCATAATCTGGAGCCGGGGTGTTCAGGAACCCGAAGGGGTAGAGATCCGCGGCGCTCTGGGCGTGGGTGCTTTGGGCCTGAGACTCGAAGGCGTGGCCTAGGCGGCGGGCAGAGGCTAGGCTGCGGGCCTGGCGTTTACCTCCTGCGCGAACCCCCTCGGGACAGGCGGAGGCGGGCCCCTGCCAAGGCAGCGGGTTGGCAGGCGGGAACTCGGAGTGGCACGCCCAGGGCCATGGGGCGGGGGAACTGGTGCGGCCGCCCTCTCGGCGGTACCAGGCGGCGGGACCCCGGTGTGCGACCCCCAGCTCCCTCGCGCTCAGGAGCAGCGGCGCGCTGGGGCTCAGCATGCGCCCCTCGCTGCGCGCGCCCTCCCAGCGCGTGAGAGCCCTCCTCCTCCTCTGCGCGCCGCCTCCTCTCAGGGGAGCAGGGCCCTCCGTTCCGAGGCCCCGCCTCCTGTTTGCTGTTGCCCAGGAAACCATTCCCTTGGCACAATCCGGGAGTGGGTTCGGGTACTCCCTCTTGCGGGCTTAAGTCCGGACCGCTAAGCAGGGGTACCTAAAGTGGAAGCGTGGAGCACTGTGCTGCCAGTTAATTTCAGCATCATGGTTCCTGTGGCTTGAGTCATTCCACCGTATTTATGGAGAGCAACCGTGCTAGGCAGTGGGCTAGGGGCTGGAGACTAGAAGCTAGAAATGATCCCTGAGCTTACAGCCCAGTGGAGGGGAGACAAAAAAGCAAGCAACAAAGGAATAAAAGAGCTGTAGGTATGGTAAGGGCAATGAACAAATAGCAAACCAACCAGGAAGGGGACATACATAAGAAAAAGATGGCCTTTCTGAAGAGGTGACATTTAGGCTGAAGCCTATGCAAAGGAGCTCAGAAGTTGGCTAGTGAAGAGGGGTAGGAATAGCAATCCAGACAGGAAAGTCTCAGCAACACCCCTGAGAAGGGTTAAGAACCCTTCCTGCAACTAAGAGGTAGGCAGTGTGGCTGGAGCCTGGTGAGAGTGCGCTAGATCTGCAGGGCCTGGTAGATGGGCCTAGGGTAAGGTTCCTTGGGGCTGATCTGAAAACCAGGGCAGTGTATGGGGGAAACAATGAGAAAGTAGAGTGCAGCACACTCCCCCTGCCCTCCATAACTAAAAATAGAAAAACAGATCGCTTGAGTCAACCGCAGAAAAAATATAATGGAACAGTTAGGTGCAGCCCTCAAGACTACAAAGACTGTAAGTAAACTTTTTGGAGGCAGTAGCAAAGTATGATCTTCCAAAGTCGTAAGTAACATAAAGCTCCAAAATGTTAATTCGCCTAAAATCACACAGCACTGAATTCAGTTCTGACCGCAAAATCCCTCTTCAACATAAACATTATTTAACATAACTAAATATTACCACTCAGGTAATGGGTCATAAAAGCACCCTAAGAGTAATTTGAGGTGCAAATTCCAGCAGTGCTCATTCAAGCAGAGTGCAGGTAGGAGAGTACTCTGGTCTGAGAACCCAGCTTTGTTATCAGGTCGATCTGCCAGTAGAGTGAGGGTGGGTCCTCAACCTCACTGTCCAGCCCATCTCAACCTGAGATCGCTCTTCTCAACCCCTGCCCACACCTTGTTGGAGACTGGGCTTCCCAAAAGACATGCCCCAAGAAGAGGGTAGGCTGTTTGGCAACCATCCAGTCTTTCTCATCAGCCTGCAAATCTGGTTGTTAGGGGCTCTGGATCCTGGGAGATGGATCGGTGACAAATGGCTGGCTCACCCAGGCAATGCCGTCCTGTGAGGGTTGAGTGAGCAGCTGCCATACTCTTTTGAACCACCAGCTTCACCGTGAGCACCTTTAACATTCACTGCAAAGTTAAAACATACCCGTGCCCTCAGAGGACACACCTAATTCTGTAAGGGAGGAGGAGGCCGTCACAGGTAATGTCATAAAGGGGATGGTAGCTGTCCAAGTTGCCCCCACCCCCAACCCCTCCTCCCTTTAACATTACCTATCCTCCACCTCAAAAGACTTCTTTGGTGGTCTGGAAAAACTTTTTGAAAAGCTCATCTCAAAGGCTGAAACTTTTCCTGTCACCCACTTCCATAAATACACCACCTCCCCTCCCGGGTAGACTACCACAGAATCAGTTTGCAAAAATACTTCAGTGCACCTAGTTACACATTCAGCTTTCACTATCTACCCCCCAAGTCTCTCCAAGACAGGGATAAGGTCACTCCACCACCCCCCAAGCCTAGTGCAATGGAAATTTTCAGTTTGGATACTGCTCTGGTGGAAAAATCAGCTGTAGTTTATTCAGTACCTATAACACAGTACCATGTCGGCCTGTTCACAGTATCTCCACTTTATGGAATAAGAAACAAGCGCACAGAACATTAGGAACTCACACAAATTCAGCCTCGAGAGCCAGGACTTGAGCACCATGTTTTTTTTTTTTTAACTTCAAGGAGTCACCAAAGTCTAGTGCTGTCCAACAGAACTTTCTCCAGTGATGGAAATGTTCTATGTATGTACTCTCTGACATGGTAGGAATTAGTCATTTGTATTTATTGAGCACCTGAAACACCTCTGGTGGGAATGAGGAAGTGAATTTTAAGTTTTTAATAATTTAAATAGCCACATGTAGCTAGGGATTATAGACAGAGCCAGGAGCCTTAGATTTGAAGCCTACTCTCTCGGTCACTAGCTGGGAGTTTTGGAGCAAGCTGCTACATCTCAAGGAACCACAGTTTCCTTAGCCATGATAAGGAATCATCATTTCTCTTAGATGACCTTTTAGCCCAAATGAGCTCTTTATGTGAAAAGGACCAAAGCTTCGTACAGGCACAGAGCAGTTTCAGAAATGAATGGTGCTTGGACTGTAATGGGGGTCTCTGGGTCGGGGCCCTTGGCACAGATAACATCAGAAACCAATCAGAAAGACGACTACTGATGGGGCCCCCCAAGTACCAACTACATTGTCTTGGGAAGAAAAAGCCCCACCGCACCCCCCACCTTTCATATACACAGTGAACAGACCTCATGCAGCCCCAAAGGGGCAAGGAGAGACTTTAATCAGGAGAGGAGGCGGGATCCACCAGAATAAGAAAAGGTACAGCGAGCGAGGGAGCAGAGGAGCCAGAGCAGGCATAAGAGACCCAGCTCAGGAAGCTCTGGAAGACTCACCCCTCCAACTCTAGCACAGGCACTGCACTGATAGACAAGGCAAATCAGTGGCCCCTCTCAGCTGGGAGGGCACAAAGAGGCCCCTGTGGCCAGAGGCACCTGGCTTTCAGTGCCCAGCTTCGAGGCATGGCTGGTGGCCACCAATTCAGCCCTTGTTTCCAACCAGTGCTGGGTGGCTTATCTTCAGGCAGAGCTCAGGAAGCTGGCAGAGAGTCTGAACAACTTCCACTGGGCCCAAGGAGGCTCAGGAGTAAGAGGGCAAAGGAAAGGAACTGGAGTCTGAACCCTTCCTCCTTCCCTCCCTCTCCCCCAACCTGGGACTTCCTGGAGGTGGGGGGGCGGGGAGACACACACAATAGTCGCCTTCTGGCTCCAGGCCCGCCCAGACCCACAGCGACCAATATGGTACAATCACTGGGACCAGTCACAGCCACTGGAGGTGGAGGTTGTCTCGTGTAAAAAAAAAAAAAAAAAAAAAAAAGACAAAAAGGTTACAGTCTCCTACAAGCACAGAATTTAAGTTTCAAGACGTTAAAAAAAAATCTGTCCCAGCCCAGGGGACTGAACATCAGAAGCCAGCCTGACCAGGCACGTGTGGCCTTGGGGCAGGTCCACTGCTGCTTTGTTGCCCAGCTAGCAAGCATACCACCCACCTCCCGCATCTAATGCCCACCCCGACCCAGCTCCCCCGCTCTGCCGCTGCTGTTGCTGCCGCCGCCGCTGCTGCTCTGGGGAGTAACTCCAGGATGCCTTCGCAGAGACACAGGGGAGTCTGAGGGGGAAGGCCTTGAGATCCAGCCAGATGGTTTAAAACTGTCAAAAGAACCAAGAGGCAGTGAATGGCAGTTATTAGTGTATCCTGGCAGGCCTGCTCTGCTCTGGGGAGGTAGGCTGATCTGAGAGCTGCTAGCTGCTACTGTGCTCAGATTTCTGAGGGATAAGTTGGGTCCTAGCACACCTTGTAGGCACCCTCTTTCTAATTCAGCCTGCATTCAGCAGTGACCTTCAGGGCTAACTAGTTTGACTAATGTTACTAACTAGTTTAACTAGTGTTAAACCTAGCACTAGACAAGACAGAAAAATTAAGGGTGAGGCAGGCTCTTCCAAAGCTCCCTTTAACCATGTCATGGTGACTGCTATACAGCTGTCAGTGCCTTGCTTGAACTGAGATGGGAGCTTGCATGCAAGGGCATGGGGATTAGGGGGCCAGGAGCAGCAGGACCCATGATCTGGTACTTTCTGTCAAGCTCTGGGTGGTTCTCCAGCCATAATACACCCTTGGAAATATCTTCTGCCCTCAAGTATCCCCCATGGTGCCCAGAGCAGCCGCACACATCTTACAGATCAGCGACTGTGGCCCAGTGGCCCACAGACGGGACCCAGCCCAATAATGAACACTGTCTGGTCCACGAAGTCTTTAAAAAAATATGAATTCATTGCCAACCTTGAAAATATAAGAGATGGCGCATACAAATCCAGATTTGGCGATTCTTTTAAAAAGCTGAACCGTCATGGGCGGGAGCTCTGTGGTAGCAGTCACCCTCTTCAGAAGAGCCATGTGCTTATCATATCCCCAACGGCCCACTTCACTCCCATGCATTACCTGCCTAAGCCCCTCATGCACCTGAGTATGTGACCCCTGCCGAACGCTACGGTGCCATCTTGATCTTTGAATCTGAAAACCAAGCTCTAAGTCCCAGTTCCTCCTCTTGCAGGCTGAGGGCCCTTAGGCAGGTGACTTGACTTTCGGAGACCAGTTCACTCACCCATAAAATAGGGATAACCCATGACTCAAAGATTGTTTCAGGGATTGAATGAGATAGATAAATGTTCTTAGCTGTGTAATTATAGAAATATGGTTAGCATCTGAAACTAACAGTATACTATATGTTGGCTAACTGAATTTAAATTAAGAAAAAGAAAGAAATGCAGTTACTGTAATTAAACGGTGAATGAGCCAAATATTAAATTAGGACAAGAACTATTTTCCTTCGCAGGGGTGCCTGGGTGGCTCAGTGGGTTAAGCCTCTGCCTTCAGCTCAGGTCATGATCTCAGGGTCCTGGGACTGAGCCCTGCATTGGACTCCCTGCTCAGCAGGGAGCCTGCTTCCCCTCTCTCTCTCTCTGCCTACTTGTGATCTCTCTCTCTCTGTCAAATAAATACATAAAAATTGTTAAAAAAAAAAAAAAAAAAAAGAACC